AAATATTCATTAATTCATCTAAGATATTCCAGATCTGTACTTGAGGCACACTTGGAAAAGTTTTAAGAAYGTTTGACGGTGACTGAGTTTCATAYATGAATTCCCAGATTGAGCTAAACTGTGAGCATAAATTTAAAAAGACACAGATTTTTCTTTAGCATATTGAAAAATAATTTTAGTGAGATGAATATAGCTTTTACTACAGCCATAAGGAAGGGTGACACTTTTAAGCATTTAAATAGCTAAAGCTTTAACTAGATACGGAGCATAAGCACACATAAGGAAGTTCTGAAAATGGTGCAGGATATCAGCATCTTTAAATACTCAGAAGTACAGTACAGAGTCTTAGGTTCACGGCAATTTTAAAAAAAATTAGTGAAAAGGGCTTGGTTCCCTTAGAGGATTTCCACTGCAGCTTGGATTTTGGTGGAGGAAAAGGAGACAGCTTGGATTTCTTCCATAGCTGATGTCATGCTTCACTTCAGCCATACTTCATATGTGACTGATAAATGTCCATGGATGTTTTCCCTTTGAAAATTTTATACTTCTGACGCACTTTCATTTAAATATGGAAGCATATTGKAACTTTATAATCAATCTCAGTGAAATCCTTAATTAAAAAGTCAGATGGCTGCCTGCCTTGTTACAAAACCAGAGGAGCCAACACTAATTTATGTACAGTGTCAAACAGGCATAATTATGCTTCTGGTAGACTTGCAGATGGTTAGCAGTGAGTGCACAAAAAAAAAGGGTCAAAGCATAGCCACAGCTCACATCTTTTTAGGCAAATGTTCACCAGTCAGCCCCTWTAGACACATATTTCTATGAAGTTTTGGAGGAGAAAGATCTTAAAGTTTGGAGCTGAGGAGTTTTTAAGTGCTTCACTTCATAGGATACATGCCATAACTTTCCAAGATAACTGACTCACAGTCAGTCAGGCTTTACTACACTGAAAATTGTATTTCCAGTAAAAGCAGTACAAGCTCCAATGTGGACCTTGTTGTTATGATTGTCCTATGCTGCACGCTACAAAAGCTGTTGTCAAATATCACAAAAGTCCCTCATAAGTTGAGACATCTCCATACAGAGCCCTATATGGAAAAATTGTCACTTTGTGCAGATCTGAGCTCATCCAAGGGCAAACTRTCATGGTAATACCTAGACAAAGCAGGGGCTGGTTCTGTACTATACCATCTTCTAAAGAGAGTCAAAGGCTTTGGACTTGATCCCTTGCCAATTCCCAACACATCAKGGCTCCTCTATGGAGGAGCTGTGGAATTTCTTTAAATGAATGTGTGCCTCTGTGTAAGTGGGTGGTTGCTGTTGTCTGTAGGAAAGGCTTATAAGGTAAAAGAAACTATGCCCTGTCTAACATGATTTCCTTGCTTCTCTAGTCCTTCTAACCCTAACCCTAACCCTAATCCTAATCCTAACCCTAACCCTAACCCTAACCCTTACCCTAACCCTAGGGTTATATATACATATATATATGTATATATATATATATATATATATACATATATATATGTTTTATAATTAGCTCAGGTAATCCATAGTGATTCTGAAAACAACACAGTAAACCCTCTCCAGACATGATGTATTCTGTGGCTCTCACAGTGTTTTGACTGTGACGTATCTGATGCTGGAACAATTTGTACAAAATCTGCCTCAGAGAGATCCCAGATGATCATTAGATAGTTCCAGCACACAACTGTGCAACCAAGAGCAGCACTTCTGCCATTAATAATATCTTTGATCATTTCTGCTTTTTAAAAAGTAAAATATGTATTGCCACTCTGAGTAGCTGTGTTTTCTAAATTATGTCATACTTTTTGTCTCTGTTAATATAAATTCTGTTTTCTTAGATTTCAGCTTCACTGAGCTTTCACTCTGCCTGGGTGTATCAGAAGTGGAAGGAGAAAGCTGTGTTCTGTCTGTACTGCTCAGGTGCTGCAAATRAGAATAAGCTTCTGCAAACTACAGAGAACTCTGTAACAGAAGAAATGCATTTATTCACAAATAATTTACAATYAAACTCTGAATAGATGGYGCCCAGTGACAGGACCAGAGACAGTGGGCATAGAYTGAAACACARGAGCTCYCTCTGAACATCAGGAAACACTTCTTTTTTTCATTGTGAGGGTGACCAAGTGCCTGCACAGGYTGTGAATTCTCTATCCCTGGCGATATTCTAAAAGCCATCTGGATATGGCCCTGGACAACTGGCTCTAGTTTGAGCAGGGAAGTTGGACCAGATGACCACCACAGACCCCTTCCAAATTTGAACATTTGGTGATTTCGTTTGGGTGAAGTTACCCTGTCTAGCATTGGCAGTAAATACCTGGTTTTTAGCAACTGTTCAGAAAAAGACTAAAGCCCCGTAAGGTTTTCATTCACATTCATTAATCACTAAGAAATGTATTTGCTACTCACCAGTTCCCCCTCATGGGAAGAGTTATCATTTGAAATGTGCAGTGGGAAAGCATATTTTGCATGTCCAGTACAATTACCCACACTGAGTAGGTTCAGAAATCCAGCCAAGACTGAAAGACAAGAGCYAGTTTTGAACCAAGTTTGCTATTTTATTGCATGTTGCTCTGCTTAATTGGAAACGCTRGATACCTTTACCCTTGTCATAGTGTAACAGATTCTCTTCTTTTGCTTTTTTTTTTTTGACCACGATGAACCAATTTAGTGCTGGAGGGAACCAGATAATTTCTGTTTTGTGCATCAACAAAACTTTAGTTCTGATGGTAAATCCAAAACATATATCCCATCCCAGTTTTAGAACAAGAGGATGATTTTGCAGCAAATCCAAGGTCATTCCTGAACCAYTACACATCTTCCTTCAGTCCTGCTAGAATTTGTCATTAACCCCATCCATCTCTGTCTACTGGATGATGAATAAATCCATCAATTGCATACTGCTAAAATTCACACAGTCATTTAGTTAGAGGTGAAATATCACAACGCACACTCGTTRCTCTCTGAAATTTTAATCTACTTAACCCAATTACATAGTAAGAGATAAAGCTGTATGTACAACTGCTGAGTCTGCAGTGGCAGAATGAGGCAAGTGGCAAATCAAAAACCAGCATTTTATTGTCTGCTCTAAGTTAGAGAATCATGTTGCAGATGCACAATGGCTTTGATCAGCTGCCACATCCTTAACTGGGGGAGACAATGCTGGAGTTTAATTCTTTGCTCTTCCTTTCTCTGGTGGGGGCTCTGTCCATCTTTTATTCCTTTTGTTATCTTCTTTTCATTTTCACTATATAGGGGATATTTTATCTACCTTGGCTGTATCCTTTGTCCTCTTTTGTCTTCTTTTCTCAAACYTGCATTACCTTAGTGATCAGTGATTTTGTAAGGTGTGTTTGTGCTCTTTYGGGTCACTGGTGTCATCTTGTGCTCGTGCATTTCATTTCTGATCAACTTCTGCTTGTGTTCTCCATGGCCCTTACACAAYTGAGAGGTTTATTGAAGCTGATTCTCAGAATATACTCAGTTTTGAGTCTGGATCCCAAGATTATGCTGTCATGTGAAACAAATCTTTCTTCAGTCATTCCAAGTATATTTTGATACCTGCTATTAATTTTCCTATGAGGTGAAATTGTACCTCAGCAATTTTCTCCCCCCAAAACAGAGCAAAATCTATTCAAAATAAAAGCAGATGAAAAATAGAACTGAGTTGAAATGGGGAAAGATCCTCCAATCATAATATCCTTTGGTTTGACATTAGAGATTRATTTTTATCTCTCTCTCTTTATGAGAAAATAAAATAACAGTACCTGACCAGCCTGCATGGATGCCCCTGTTTTCTGCAATTTTCTGAAACTCTTGACAGGTTCATCCATATTGGCTGAATATCTGAAAGGCTGATTGTCCCTACAAGGTTTTCAGAAATTAGAATGAAGAAAAAGAGGAAAGCTGCAAAACAGAAACATCAGGAAATCCCCACAGCAATCAATGAAATTACAGGGAATTAACAAATTTCTGGATCTGCTGCCAAAATTTACGGATTTTTGTCTTCAAAAAAGTGGTGAAGCCTTTGCTCTTCACCTACCCCAAGGTCAGCAAAATTCAAACTTAAAAAAAAAAGGAAGCAGACTTGAAAGGAATAAAAACATAAATTGCCCATCTGACTGCTAAAAATTATATTATCTGTTGCCTGTTTTCCTACTAGGGCCGCACAATAACATAGAACAGCACCAACTTTTAGGAGCCCCAGGCTCTCCCTGGGCTGCAAGGGGGTCTCTGCTCCAAGGGCTGTCTCTGGGGCTGTTGTGGGGAGATCCCTTCTCAGAGCCTGCAGCCCCTCCTTCCCTCCTCCTCCTCCAGCTCCCTTTGGGGTCCCTCTGATGCTGTTCCGTCCTCAGCTCCTCCGACTCTGCCGCTGTCACCTTTGCACCATGCTGGAACCTGTTTGTCCCCMAMWWYC